GTGCAAAACTCAGTGTAGTTGCTGATTGGATCTGGATTTCCACACTTAAAACATTCATGAAAAATAGAAAATTTTGGCTTAAGTTTATAAAAAGGCTGAGTATTTTTTGAGGAGATGGAGGCCTGTAACGTGCTGCTCATACCATAGGTCCTCATATGATTTATGGTCATGTCCATTATGCGGTAAATATGACAAAAAGCCCAGACAGTTATTGACTGTTTCAATATATTGCTTTATTCCTTGTTCATTTATCAAAGCCAGGGAGCCCCCCATAAATCAGCTGAATGAGACAAAACAGAAGATCTCGGTGACAGATTCCCTACGTTTAAACTACGACTGTACAACCCTGAAGAAAGCCAGCATGAGAAAAACCAGACCTCACCACATTTCAGCTGCTGACATTTCTACAATTACTCTTCAATTCTCATGAGTGAGCTGCTGACATTTTTGTGCAGTTTACAAATTTTACTATATCATCAAGTGAATACTCGCATTAAATCAATACGGTTATTTGCACTTTTTTTTTCCTCTTACAGAAAACAGAGGAAACCCTCTGGAGTGTGTCTATTTATAGTGAATACACTGTTTTATTTATAGTAATATAACTTCATATATCATGTGAACACCAGCTGAGATGAGTGCTCATGTGGTTTCACACAGTTTCTCATTCATGCCACTAACATTGTTTTCTATAATAATTATCTGAGTGATTATCACTATGGATTTGTAAGTTTTATGGGTGCCTGTATTTTGGATTCCCAGCAGGTTTCCACTTCATTAAATTGACAAAATGATGACTCAGACTTACAGCTGAGTATAGCTGAGTTTGTGGTGAAAAAGGATGTGGAGTTAGGACCATAGACTGTATAAAAGATAATGGATGTAGCCTCCATGACATCACCCATTGGCTTGTGGACTCCCGTTTTGAAGCCTTGAGCCATCTTGGACTTTTGGAGCCAGAAGTGACCATATTCAGATTGGAGGGTGAAGCTGTGGAGCACAGAGGTGTGGATCTTGCTCATAGACTGTAGCCCAGCCCCTGTGAGGGGGTGGGGACCCGCAGTCCTGTCACCAACAAACAAAAATTGAGCATAGCGTTAGTTCAGACAGGACACAATGTCAAGCTCAGCTCACATCTCAGCTACATCAGCTGATCCCAAACAGAACAATCAACTGATGGAGCATCTGATAGATGAAGGGAGTCAGCTGATAGATCACATGATTCATCTCTATGCAACCAATTGGCAAATCTCATTCAGGGCACCCTATTTAAACTGCTCTGGCCTACTGCCTACTGTTGCTGCTTCCTCTGCAAGCCGCTTTGCTCTTTGAGACTCCAGCTCCTCCTCTTCATGCTGTGTCTGACTTATCAATATCATTTCTGTTTGTCATTGATGCTGGCTGTGTTCTGTTCCTGGAGGGGTCTTTGCTGCTGCTCTCCCTGACTTAGGCTTTCCATGTAGGTGCATGGAAGGGGAGAGCGGTGTGCTCTCTCTGCTTTAAGGTCTTCCACAAAAGCACAAGGAAGGGCAGGGAGGTTTGCTCTGTCTGCCTTAATCTTTGCATGTTGGCGCATGGAAGGGCGGAGAGGTGTGCTCTCTCTGCTTTAGGCTTTTCATGTAAGTGCATGGAAGGGCAGAGAGGTGTGCTCTCTCCACCTTAGGCTTTCCACAGAAGCTCTCTGCATAGACCCGAGGAAAGGCAGAGAGGCCCCAGAACAGAGCCATACTGCAAAATATAATACTGCAAATGGAAATAAAGTTTTCTTTGACTAAAGTGGTCCTGACTGAAATAAAAAAAAAGTTTTTATAATTTCTAAAAATTATAATTACATAGGATGCGCATCATGTTAAAATGCATTTTCAGAGCCAATATTGGCATGAAATAAAATAAATGTTAAAAAGAATCTTTGCTGGTCCAAAGTCTTTTTTGTTATACATGTCAGAGCCAATCAGGAAGATTTAAAAAGCAATAGCGAGGTCAACGAGGATGAAACAGGCCTACCTGATTGCAAAGACCTTGATTGACAGGAAAAGTCATAGAATGTCATTCTATTTTCATGTGAAGAATACATCATAAATGTTGGAGACACCCCAGCAGTGAGTCCACCATGCGCCCTGCAGCTTCAACATTATTGCCTTAGACAGCTTGACAGCGGTTGTAACACTTTATAGTTTCTAATGTTAAAAAGCTTCAACGGTTAGTCAGTACAATAAATTGTATCCAGTGCCCTTAAGTGCTCCGTCAATTCTGTTGTGCATTTAGTATGCTATTTTATTTGCATGCTCTGTGGTGTAGGAAGGGGCCTTGCATTTTGGTCCTGTAGACTGTAAACATGTTTATTTCTGCTGTAAGTTTGGGTGTTTTACACGGGGGTCTATGGGAATCGCTTCGCTTTTGGAGCCAACCTCAAGTGGCCGTCTGAGGAACTGCAGTTTTTCTGCACTTCCTTTTTTTTTTTTTATCCCCAGAGAAATGAACCTGGCCTCTATAAGTTTAGCATTTTATCTGGCAGCCTTTTATTTCTCTTCTTTTGCGTACTTACCTCCTCAAAGTCTACAGCTGTTGTCTAGACAGTGCTTTTAGCATATTTAGCTTTTAGAGTATTCCAACAGCTCCCAGCGCCATAGTTTACCTCTGCATCAGCTGAGGAAAAAAACACATATCTCACTTTAGCAAACTATTGCTGTGACACTGATATTTCTTTCCGCTCCTCTTACCTGGCAAAAGCTCCCATGCGAAGCATTCATTTTTAATAAAACTTGTCTCAGTGGCTGAGTGTGATAGGACATATATTTTATTAGAGCATTGTGTTTTCATGAGGTGACAGTGCACTTGGGATCTCATTAAAATACACTTGGAAGGAGGCCGTTCTTCTACTTATGTCTGGACCTAATTTAGAAAAATGACACTTTCCATCTACGTGTATATTGTCAGCTTCTGACAAATGTGAGCACACATGGCAAAATTCACTTCCCCAGATTTAAATGGCCTAAAGCAGCTGCCACAAATGGACTGAGCCTTTTGATATCTTCTTACAGTCTATATTACACACAAAATACAGAGTAGGTGGCTAAGCATACGTTAATATTCTTATATACCTGGAAGCTGGTGGAGAGCTGCAGCGACAAGATAGTATTCCCTTTGTAGAATTTACCTTCTCCATCATTGATATTTGCATCATTAAGTTTTGTCACAACTGTATTTTGTAATATAATTACATTTTTCAGGTATTGTTGATACTTTTTAAAAGGATTTTATTAATTTCTTTGTTCAGATTTTGTAGTATATCTTATTGTCAGACACTGAATGCCTGTCTCCAGACTGTATAAACACAGAGGACAATGATGGAAATAAGTTCAGGAAACCATCATCCTATCCCTGACAGTATATGTGCGATCTCCTGATTCAGTCCTGCTTGCTTTGGGCCACAAGACGCACTTTTTCCTCTGGGGGCTAAAGGTCATGGAGGATTGTGGGAGCACGCTGCGCCACAGGCTGCGGTTGCGTCACCAACAGTATTGAGTCAGGTGCACTCCCGAAGATCTTAATGCCAGCTGCCGTCGAGGCAGGGATAATCTGCCTAAGCAGCTTTCACATGATTTCACCCACAGGGAAGAATTTAGGAGAGGTTTGTAAACCTCTTCAGACCTGGCCTTGGAGCTTCTTCCTTCTTTGACTTAAGAGGTGAACAAGGGCTGTACAGCAGACACTACACCAGAGAATACTGTGTAAAAAAAAAAACAACCTGTCTCTACTCATTTGGAATTTATTAATTCCTGCACACTCACACAAATGCTTGTAACTTATCTAAAAATCAAGCACATGTGCATCTTGTCCATTAGTGCTTTGTTCCCAGACTTTCTACGTATCACTCCGTTAGTCATTAAATTGAAAGCACCACAATGAGACGAGAAGTGATAAGAAACATTGATCAGATCTTATTGAGATGTCCTGAGGGAGAGTATCTCTACAGTGGACAGAGAGCAGCATTAGATTTATCTTCTTGAAAAGACAGCAGGAAGTCTCTGTGACCTTCTCTGAGGGTCAGATGAACTTGAACAGATGAAGTTAATCTACTAACAGCTAGGGGTCAGAGTCAATGGCCTGATGACTATACATGCTGTGCAAAGATGTGACTGGTATTACATATTCCAAAGGGCACTGGCAACCCTATCCCTGGAGGGAAAACTGTCTGGGTTGGTCTTAAGCGTCCACGCAAAGCTCAGACGTTTGGCATTTGATGGCACTGCAGATCATCATTCCAATTTTTTTGTTTTGAGACATAAAGACCAAAGTAACTGAAATATAAGTAGTTTCTCATGCTACAATGCTGTCATTACCATTTGAAATGAACACCAATCTATTGAGAGAAACACTGATGCTCCTCCAGTTGGCTACCCTTTTTTAAATGATTTACTTTTGTCTTTACAGATGTGGAAAAAAAAAACATTATCTGCTTTTTCCTCAGCCTGTCTCAGACTTTATCTCTCACTGAGCCCAAACAGCTAAGACAGATTATATCCTGCTGAGCTGTTTGTGCGCTAACTAACCCTCAGCAGATGCCTGCCTGATGTTGATTAAAAGACTGCGATGGGGAAAAGTTCACTAATTGTAAAAATGACTGACTAACCGACAGCTATCTTAAGTTTCAGCACAGCAGACCTTTTGCAGTTACCATGTCATAGCATGGAAAACACAGGTGTAATCAATAACATGTATTATGGCTGCAGTCCATGAATGGCTCGTTAGCACTATAGCCTGCGGTGACACCTAAATGAGCCACTGTTAATGCTGTTAATTTCACCTATGCTCCTCTATATTCTAAGTCAGTTTGCATCATTGAAATTTTTTTCTGGTATTTAATATGAATTGAGAACACTGCTGCATTCACATGCTCCTCAGTTGGTCCCATTCCCAAGTTTGGAAGTTGCTCTTTCGACTTTGGTGAGCTCGTAAGCTCTATGTCGTAATGTGGAAACAACATGAATGCTATAAAGAAGAAGTGCTGTTTTTTTTATTGCAAATCATTTAAAAACAATAACATTTTGAAGCTTTATATTACACAGTAATTTTGTCCCAGACCTTCTGCTACACCAGCACATCCTCTAAAACTACTCAAATATTGCTTTATCTGACTAATGCTAATAAATAACTTTTCTAACGAAATTAGGTCACTCTATGTGCACAGCAACTAACAATTACAAGCTAATACCATATTATAAATTACATGAACAAAAAATTGCATGCAGTTTGTGAATTAATAATAAGTTTAACATCAACTCAACATTTACTTTCATCTTTTATCTCAACTCATGTATGAAAATTTTCCACAACTTTCTGAGTTGTTCTGACTTGACAGGGCGTTAACGTAAATTCTCCCAGTCAGGAACTAATTTTTTCAAATTATTCCGACCCCACGTGAATGCAGGGTCAGTATGGTATCCGTGCAGGTAGACAGAAATTAATCTTAACCAAAGTCAACAAAATATCGCGATAATTGTAGTCCATGTTAAGTGCCAATTGATTGAGCAAAAGCACTACAATCCCCCCCATTACTAGTCGCAATGTCATCTTTAGATACAGTAAATTGCTTTATCGTAAGGGCTTGCTATTACTGCTCACAGAGCTCACACCTTAAGAAGATTATTGTTTATGTTCCGCCTGGCTGTATAATGTACGTCTCCAACAGGAAGTGTGTTTGCTAAGTCCATAAGCCTGGAGCCTGGAACACTAATGTGCTGGAGTTCAGCCCCAGACAACTGAACTCCTCGTCGAAGGCAAGATGAGCACATATACAGTATTCAAATTTACTGTTTGCCAGTGTATTGTTTGTAGACTTTTGCCTTCTCTTACTTTAATGTAGAGTTTTAGAAGGGTGATCCAGGACTCTTAATGTTGTGTTAAAGGATCATGATTAGTTGTTTTATTGATCAAAAATTAAGCTAAAATCAGGAGTCACAAAAGCTGAAAATGGATAAAGACAAAACACAATTTCAGTAGCTGTAAGACAAATCTTCAGCGTATGACTGCAGAACAAATTACACAGCCTCAATTCCAAATTTAAATGCTTGCGACGTGATAATAAGCTGCAAAATAACCAAGCTAATAAATATATTATGATTGATGGCATGTAGGTTGACTCGGCGCTCCTTTGATGCTGCTCCTCCGTCTCTTCATCTGCAGCAGCTGTCTGTTCGTCTCTTTCTGTGATGCTGTTCTGCTTGCTCACCCTGCACAGCTGGCACAGCAGCTGGCGCAGGCACAGGTACAGGCCACCCAGGTCTAGTGGCACAGGCGTGGCACATCTGGGTGGGAAAACGGGAGGAAGACACACACAAGTGAATTCAAATATATGCTGTCATAGAGCAAAATGGTTCTGTTCTGTAGTGTCAGGTAGATTCTTCTTACTGCAGGTGCATCCCCCCCTTTTACAATCTCTTAATGCACTCACAGGCTGATTCCCCAGGAGCGGCTCAGGCACGCGAGGCACTGGCCTAAAACTAACCTACAACACACAAGGTCAAGGTGTGACCCTTCTACGCATTGGTGTGGCGCATTAATGCAGGTACTGGCAGTTCTCCCTGAAGAGGATGTACAGGAGAGAGAGTGGAATAATCCGTGTTGGTGTTTCCCGTGTGTGTGTGTGCGTGTGTGTGTGTCACTGGAGTGAGGGAGGATTGTGGGGCTGTAGTTGGGGGGGTGAGGAAAAGGTCTGCCAGGCATCAGGACAGAAAGGTAAAGAGGAGCAGACAAGACGATAAGGAGATTGGGACACAGACGGCGAGCTGGGAGCAAGTCGGCGCTAAAGGTAGTTGATAGAGAAGACGATGTACTTCAGGCAGGCTGAGGAGGGAGTCTGCTCAGTTCTTGCTTCCATCTGCGGTGTTAAGTAAGAGCTCGAGGAGTGAGAGAAGGCAACAGAGAGCATGTGTGCAAGGGAGAGTAAGCCGGGGCATCTGGTTTTGTTAAGGCCTCAGAACATTCCTTCCCTCTGTTCGACTCTGGCTGGCAGCTTTTAAAGGGACACTTTCGCTCTCATATCCTGCTCCGGGCATTGCCCTCTCTCTTGAAGTTCGATTTATGACCGCTGAGGGTCACAGACAAGATGTCTGTCTGTCTGTTATTATGCATGCTCTTTTGCATGACACTCAGAGGTTGTTAGAGTGGAGAAATGTTGTGTCTTTTATGACTCAGAGAATACTGATGGCAGCAGACTTCACCTGTCTATCAGTTCATTTCTTATTTAAGGGCTCTTAGTTTTAGTTTTTTCTCAATATTCATTAAACGCTAGCGCTGTCATGATGATACCGGAATTTTTACCTTTAATCCAATGACTTGAAAAATATCTACTGAATACTATTTTCGATATTAATAGGAAAAGTTGACACAACATTGAGAGCTTAAAATTGTCAATTTTTATTAAAAGATAAATATGACAAGGCTATAACATGAAAATGACAACTTTTATTGTCTTTGCTAGAAGCAAAGAACAGCAGAATTACTGCAATAAACAATGATTAAAAATGTAATTAATTTAAATAAAAATTAATGAAAGCTATTTGTTTTGAGGTAGTGCACAGCCACTGAGTTTGTTCACATTCAAAAGGCAATAAAGCAAGAAAAAACAAAAACTTTTTTTTCTTATGTAATCTTTGTATTTTCACTTACCAGTGAGTAAAAAAAATCAGATAGAGCTAATTACTATTCTTTTAGGCTATAACAAAACCCGCAAATTATTATATTCAACTGAAGCGTAAGATGAGTGACAAGAACACGGCACTGTGAGGGAGTGAGAGGACGCAGGGCTTTGTAGGCACTGAAGTGTATGTGTGAACTCGCTGTTGGAGAGAAGGGAGAGCAGGGGAGCACAGCTGACATCGATATCCATATCCATCGATAAATCAATATTTATGACAAAACTATAAGCACACAAATACAGAGCATGACTTCTATCCACTGTCACCACCATCACTTAGGATTTATCTAAAAATGTATTAGCATCATTATTAGTATAGACATAAAATGGAGCTACTTTGTCAGTGCTGTTTAGCTTTCAACTTTATTAGCTTTGGCTGTAATTACAAATCTATTGAGCTCTCAGCATTAGCGGACAGCCTCTAAACTTTGGGAGGGTTGTGTTGTATTAATTTCCTCCAAGAGAAATTTCCCAAATAAATTCTGAGTATCAAGAAATCTATTTCAGATGTTTGTTTTTCCTTTAAATTTTAACGAGGAGTCGTACTCCAAGCCTGAAATGAGAGGGAGAGAAGGCCTGAATGTGACTGCTGATGCTCGACTAAAATGTGTTATTTTGGGGATGATGCAAGCCAGGTGAAACTTAAAATTGTGCCAACACTGTACCAACAACATTATCATAACATACCATTAAAAACAAACACCAAACTGCACAGCAATTGTGAAAACTACCCCAAAATGACAGAAATGAATGTGCTGTCCCATGATGCAATGCTTTTGTTACATGATACGGCAGGTGTCATGGTAAGAATCTCAACACACGAACGTGCCGCATAAGTAACAGGGTGACGGACGATGCTTTTTATTTCACACGACTGCGAGAAGGCTGGGTTTGATTGGGTCATTACCCTCATGTCACTCCTGGGGATGGACGGGTCTTCACTGCAGGAAAGGGCCGACCACAACAGTTCTTCAGCTGGCAGCTTTAGCTGGTACATGAGGACATAAAGCTTGCCAGTGAAGAACTGCTGTAGGTCAGCCAACGAGCACATTATACCCAACATGCACTTCTAAACACCTGAAGGAAAATATGGGCATAATATCAGTGAAGTCAACCACAGTGACATGTCGAAGCTTTGCTTTCAATTTGCTGCCATCTGGGACTGTAACTGAGGCTAACAGGATGAGACACCTGTCAATAAATCAAACACACTCTTGTTAAAGTCCTTATATCTCCTTAATGATACAGTAATTCTCAAAATCAGCTTCAAGGAACAAAACAGAGATTTTAAAAGTTGTTGAGGGGATAACTTTTTCTGAGAAAAAAAAATTAATGACTTTGTATTTCCAGAGAAAATTTGGGACCTTTTCAATTGAATTCTATGCAGTTGGAGATTTTTTTTGGAGCCAGCATCTAGCAACCATTACTTGTGCTCCATCTTAAGGCTCTTCCACATTGGCTTCAGCTTTTGGCGATGGCGGTTGCCGCTTGGCACACAAACACTCACACTCCTTCTCTCTGGGCTGGCTTTAAAGGGAACTTGTTGTGGGAGAGAGGTGAGGAGGTAGAGAGAAAGATAGCAGAGAGGAAAACTTTATAAAATTCTTTTGTCCTTATTTGTGAATACTGTGGTTTATGGCGGTTTTTAAATGTATGTACACCCTTAAAACAAACAAAGCTACGTGTGCGTACCGGCATGGAGCTAGCCTGCATCAGACATGCCAGCCTACTGTTTTAGCATTCTCTCTGCTTTTTTTTTTTTTTTTGCTATAATTGAATACAGAAGTCTTTTGCTAGCTAGATAGCTTGGCCTCTGGTTACAGCCTGGAACTCCTGATAGAAAACAGCTCTTGTCCTGTGGGGCAGTTCAGTTTACAGCAGCCAAACAGGGCCGAATGAAGGAATTTTCCTTGCAGTTTAGACACTTCCACTCCTTTGGGTGTGTGACTGCTTCACCAACATGTTAAGTATTTTGTTATTTCACCTTGAGAAAACCCCACAAATTTCCACCCAGATGAATGTCAATTTGAGAAATTTTGGTAGAAGGGTGAAGCCCTTCAGAAGAACTTCTCAGGGCCAGTTTGATCCATCATCTTCTTTGCTATGAAATAGTTTTGAAAGTTTAACCATGGCCTAATCAAGTGTCCGAAATTAAAAGTGACAAGAAAACCCTTTATGTGATGTTCTACTTAAGCATCCCCTTTCCGCTGGCCACTGTGTAATACTTGCAAGTAGCCCAGGATTTGTCTCGCCTGGCTTCCAGTCAGCTGGCCTGACTTCAACTATTGCAGTCACTCAGTCTGAAAAGCCTTTCCCTAGCAGCATATTCTTACACAGTTCAAGGACAGGACTTTGGGCGAACTAGCTCTCAGCAGCACCGCGAACCCAGCAACCCCTGGAAACTCAATGAACCCCACGCTGCTCTGAGCAACAGTGGAAAGCTCTGGACTGCAGAGAGTGAAACACACACACACAAACACGCGCTCTCAATGTGACCGAATGGTCCTCTTCCACAGAAAATTCTGAATGAGCTACGGGCCTTGATCTTGTACTGAATCTAGAGGGATCCATTGTGGGTGTGTAATATTAGAGATTAGATCCAGGGCAAAGGTGTCCCCTTTGTACTCATTGAGTAAATTTGTAAAGAGGCACTTGATATCCATTGGCCTTTGTCAGCAGTGAGGAGATAAGCTTCTTTTGGTGCTCGACAGAATGTGTTTAAACTGAGGAAGATTGCAGGTTTACAGGGAAGTAAACGGACAAAAAGGAGTAAGAAGGAACAGAGAAAGAGTTGATGAAAAGAGAACAGCAAACACTAATAAGGTCAGAGATGAGCACTGCCACAATAAAACAAAGTGGTGACAATGTAATAGCCCTAATGTGACAAAAGATGAAACGACAAGGCTTCCTCTGGCCAAATAGCACAATCTGGCAACTTCTCTGTTCAGCTCCAAAACAGGGTAGCAACAAAAGAAGCACTTACTATTTAGATGCAAAGTGCTTGCTTACCCAAGCTTGCAGAAATATCTGCTGTACGATAAACATGCAGAGGTGGGACCAAGTCAGTCAAGTCTTTGCACTCAAGTCCCAAGTCAAGCACCAAGTTTTAAACCAAAACAAGTCTGTTTAATGTAATGCCATTTTAACAACAGAACAATTAAATTTACGAAATTCCCAAATGCTTTTTAAAGTGCGTTCTTGTTGGAAGTTGTTGCGTCTCTGTCTGTAATTTCCAACCCGCACCTTTTGCATACTGGAATTCATTTTTTGTTGACCACCACATAGTTTTTGTACATGAACAATTTGATATAATTTTATCCAACTGGCACCCAGTAATATAATGTTAATTCTTTATGGTTCTCTCCTGCAACTTAACTGGATGCTGTCGGATTGGTTCAAACAAAGTGGATCTGGGGACTTAAGTGTTGACTTGCTGGGAATGAATGGCTTTTATTTCCCTTCATTTGCGATTCAGCAAATTAAGGGAAATAAATTGTCCGGAGGCACACCTTTTACATACTTTTTAAACTTGTCGGAAGGTATCAAGGATTTTCAAAAGGATCAAGTCCAAGTGAAGTCACGAGTCATTGGTGTTAAAGTCCAAGCCAA